TCGTCAGTTTAGATTCCTGTGCTGACGACTTATTCACTTTCTAACAAACAATTAACTCTGCAGTCATAAATGTTGCTAAATCAATAATAAAAGGGCCACGAGGTATCCATCGCAGGGGCCTCCCTGATGAATTAACGTAATAGCTATGAAGCAAAAAGACAGTAAAGTTTTTTTTATTGAGCCTTCAGCACTATGATGATGATTATATTAATTACTTTGGTATTTTTGAAGCTTAAATGGCAATTATCTCCTTGCTTTATTGGGTTTACATAATAATGTAATAATGAAATAAACAGCTCTAACACAGCAGGGCTCCAATGTCCACTTATTTATTACACCAAAGTGATGTTTTGAGCATAACTTCCACACTGCACACTCCTATGTGTACAGGGAATAAATCAAAGTAAGTTCATCTTAGAAAATATAGATAAACTCAGATAAACTCATAGTATAATGCCAGAAGATATGACTGAACCACCTAGAAGTCGTTATTAAAGGTTTGTTACTGATAAATAAACCATCAGTAAATCCTATATAAAGTAAACTTTTTTATAAAGTGGTACCTTAATATCCAAGTAGTGGTCATTTATATATTCTGTCGTAGTAGCAGAGGTGACTTTAGATAACAGTCTAGAGGGTGATTTTCTTGTGCGAGGGGTGTTCAGGCAGAAAAATGAAGTGAAAGACATAAACGTTGGCTCTCTGTTTGGGCAGGAGGCCAGTTCAGTCTGACGTACGCCTGCCAACTTCTGTGCAAAGTTATGCAAAAGACTTGTTTAAAACTATGTAACTGACCATCAAACCACATCTGCAAAGAGGCAAAGAAAACGGCTGCATCATTACAGCAATCATCGTTACTCTTAGCTACTTTTCTAAAAGATCTCTTCATCTGGAAGGCAGTGCTCATCAAACATTCAGGACAGCCCGTCGTTGGAGAGGAGGGCTGCCTCTGAGCCGTATGTGCTGCCTTTGATAGCACATCACAGCAGCCCCGTACCACCTGAAATGACACCTGACAGGGAGGATTTTTTTTTACAATCACAATGGGATTTCAGACTGCTTAGAGAGAGAAAGCGCCTCGATATTGGCTATTTAAGTTGCCTGGAAAATCTTTTAATGGCAGCTTTCACAGTGGCCTCGACGTGACATTTCTGAGCGAATGAGACAGAGGAGGAGAGACGATATGGGAGGGAAAGAGCGATATTGAATGAAGCTGCGAGTTAAAGAAGCACTGGGGGACTATTAGCAGCAAGATGTACTTTTAGTATCAAAATAAAAGCACTTGTTTTGTTTTGGCTCATTTATTATATATGATGTAATAGGATTTGCTGGCTTTCTTGATATATCCAGTTTAATATTTCTGTTTCGGACTGTTTGTTGGACAATAAAGCAATCCGATTTTGAACTTTTGGAAAATGATGAGCATTTTATTGTGACCTTTTATGATTTATGGAATAATTAAGAAACTAATCAACAGATCAACAATGTAGATAACTCTTAGTTTCAGCCCTCATCTTGTGTTTTTTATGTAACACATATGATGAAATGTAACCAGTATTTAAAATTATTAGATAAAAAGGCCTCTAAAATGTAGCATAAAATGGGAATACTAAACCACAAGTACCTCAAAACGTGTTGAGTAAATGTACTTAGTTACTCTCCACTAGAGAGGAGTGACAATCTGTTCCCCTCACATGGTGGGAATAACGAGGGGGGAAAGCCAACATGTGACTCAGAGGAATAAGAAGCAGCTTTGATCTGTGACAAAAGAAAAAAACTGCAAATAAAGAAACTGCCAGGCTGTGCCACTCATTACGACTGTGAAAGAGCTCATCGTAGAGCCTTCACTCCAAAAGATAACCCAACTCACAGCTGCTAGGGTTTGAGACTTCAGTGACAGAGGGTTGGAGGTTTTTTGTTTTTGAAATGGGAACATGGTGTTTAGATTAGGCCTCACAGCTGGCTAATGGCTCTGCTAACCTCTATATCTAATCACTATTGTTAGATTGCAGTCTGCGGTTGCTATTTATTGCTAAAACTGGAGGTCAGCATACTTCACATATTCACCCTGAATCAGAACAGATTTTCCCGCCGCTGCGTTTCTGTAGGCAAAAAAACCCCCAAAAAACAGAAGCACACTCCGTGAATGTGATCGTTATTGGTTATGACATTTAATTCCCATTTGAGAACAAGCAGTGTTTTACAGCAGAAGATGCTGGGAGATTATTTATACACACAAATTAAATTTTTATGAGAATTCTAAACCATAAATTATGCTCAGAATCTTTTCTTTTTTTTTAAATCAGCAATTATTTGTCATATGTTTCTCCGTGGGGGTGTAAATTAGTGTGAAGACACTCATTTTCTCACAGAAATAAAATACAAATCTCTCGGTTTGTTTTTTGGCTACAGCTCCTTCATTTACACACATGTTCAGTTGTTTCTATTAACAATCTGTCTTTTCCACAGCGTGATAAAAGAGTCCACTGTGGAGTCAAGGTCATATGAATGACGCTGTCAAAACATCTGTTTTCTTTCGACCATGCACTATTGTTGTTTATCCCTTATAGAAACCATATTCCCTGCAGTTTAGCTCTTTTAAATGCATCTATGTTTGCAGATGACACACCAATCTCAGCAAAATCACGCTTTTGTAAAGCTGGCCATGATCTTCATATTACATTGTCACCTTAACATAATAATAAAAACAACTTAGTAATATTAAAACATAAATGGTTTTAGGAGTGAAATGCTGAATCAGTTGAGTTAAAGTTATTATTAAATGTGTGCTAAAGACCAAAAGCCTGACAGTCTGCACAATAAGAAGAAGAATCAAAAGACAAATGACTCTCATCAGCTCACATTACTGACCTTTCTAAAAAACAAAAAGTGATGAAAATAACAGGGACTGTTGGATTGCAAGCTTCTTATCTAACTCTTCTTGGTTGTGTTATAGCTCATAGTCTGATTTATAGTCATATCAGTTATTGCTGTGCAGTGCAGGGTGATGCAGCTCAGAGAGATGTGGACAGATTGCAGATTGCGTTAAAGAAGGCAGCAGAAATGATCCAGTATTTGGGAAAAATGCAAAGGTTTAATGTAGGTTTAAAGTCTAGTAAGCATTCAGGTCAGTGTGAAATAAACATAACGTCAATATCAGGAATAGAGGTAAATAAAAAATCACATATTACTCAGGATAAAAACTGAAATTAAATGTGTTTACAAGATAATTAATGGATTCTATTGTCATACGCGCAATAGTACATGTGTCTGTATCAAGTATGTGTATGTTACATGTTTTTATTGTGATTTTATTTTGAATTATTTGGATTCTGGAGCTAAAGGTAAACAAATAACACAAGATTTTAAGAATTGGGGTTGAGGTTGAGGGTTTTTAGGGGTCTTATGATCCTAAAAGAAAACCTGGTTCTGCTGCTCTGTAGTTACCAAAGAATAAAAAAGTAGAGAAAAAAAGGTGTTAATGTTGACATCTACTTTCATTTCCCCCTTGTGTACTGAAAGATTTGGCTGAGATATAAAGCTGAGCCGCACCAGTTATTTGAAAATAATAAATTTGGAAGGCAATCAAGATCTGTGCACATGCAGGAACAAGCCTGTCTGCTTCAGAGAGGATGCTGGAAATTTGACAAAAAATAATTAAAAGGCAGAAAGAAGAACACGCTGCATGTCCCCGCTCCTTTGATTTTCCTTTCTCATTTCCTTTACATTTTTTTCCTTATTATTTAATGTGCACAGTGGGTTTGAAGATGTTACAGAGACCCTTTTGTGTTCTCATAAAAAAACAATAATTTGCATATTTCCAATTTATGCTCCTATTGAAAGGAAATCACAATGTAAAGCACAGAAACCACTGAGGACTTACCTGTTTCTATAGATGAGAGTTTATTAAAGGGTTTATACTGAGAGTCGAGTCGAATGCTACAGTTTCGTGTGGCTGATTTGTGACAAAATGTTGGATTTTCTTCTGAATAAGTTGCATCAAAGTTAGTGAAACTATGAATTTTAGAGCTTTGAGATGAAAAACACAAAATACCACATATTTGTTCTTACATACATACGTTTTGGTAACCTCAAAGTCCAGCTCTGACCTGCAGGTAAAAGATGCAAAAAGCTTGTTTCTTTTCATTGTTTCTTTAGAGTATTTTTCACTGTTTCAATCTGAGGTCTTACGTTTCCCCCAAGGCTGTTATCGCTCCACCTACACTTCAGACTGTTACATAATGTTTTATCGGGGCTTTAGCAGCCACAGAAAGGCTCAATAACGGGGTTTCCAGGACAGAATAAATGGGGCACTGTGGCCAAACTACTGGAGTCCCTGACCTGTAAAAGCAGAGGAACATCTGGAGCTTTAGGTAAAAGCTGTGGTCAGTTGTGTTCATCCTAAAACTGATGGGGAGGTCAGTGATTGTGGAGTTAAACTTTAAAAAGGCTCCTTTAGGCTATAGAAATCTCAAGAGAGCTCAATATTGGAGTCCATGATCCAGACGAACAGATTGAACATCTGGATTTTTTTTTTACTTTAGTCGATTGTTTTCATCCTATTTTTTTTTGAGTGTAAATGAGGGTAAAACACACAAATTATATGATTGTGGAGTTAAACTCTGAATAATTTGAGCTCAAATTGAATTATTGCCCGAAAAAGCAGGAGAACATCTGGATTTTTAGGTGCATTTTCACTGTAGTCGATTGTTTTCATCCTATTTTGTTTTACAATCTGAGTGTAAATGAGGGTAAAACATACAAATTACATGATTGTGGAGTTAAAATGATAATAATTTGAGCTCAAATTGAGAGTTATTGCCTAATAAAGAAGCAGAACATCTGGATTTTTAGGTGCATTTTGAGCATCTTTTTACACCAAACTTTAGAACCGTCTACAATCAGAGGTGGTGAGATATGAACTCTTTGCAGACCAACACTTTGACAGCCACTGAAGTGTTTTATGAACTCCCACCTGTAGTCAGAGCAGAGACTCCTACCTGCTGCCAGCTGCATCCAGCCGCAGATCTTGTACACGGTGCCGGTGCTGCAGAAGAAGAAGAGCGCGAAGCAGCCGATGCAGGTGAGGACCAGCACCATGGACATGCCGATGAAGAAGGAGGCGGCCTTGAACGCGCCGGAGGGGATGGCGCTGAACTCGGTGAAGCTGCCCTGACAGGTCAAGTCCCGGGACAGCCCGTTCCCGATGCAGTAGTGGAACAGACCGAAGTAGCCCGCCTGCGGGGTGTCCACTCCATCTCCGATCCAGTACGGCTGGATGAAGCACACCACGTTGACGATGGCGAAGAGGATGGTGAAGATGGCCCACAGGACACCGATGGCGCGGGAGTTGCGCACGTAGTTGGTCTGGTAGATTTTGGCAGCCTCGGAGGCGGGGAGCATGGTGGTGGTCGTGCTGGGGGCCCCGGGGACCATCCTCCGGTCTGTGTGTAAGAGGGTCTTCAGCAAACTCACATCTGCCGCATCTGATCCGGGAACGGCACAATCACCCTGCTGCAGAACTTAAGTCGCTGCTTTCGGGTTTTATTCTAAGCCTATAATAGATTTATTATGACTTTATTCAGTCACAGTTGTGCCCACAGCATGTCTGCACTCTCGCATCCGTGGCAAGCTCGGATTTTGTTCTCTTCTTGTGTTTTCCTCTGATTTTCATTCATCACTCTGCCAAATAGAAAATGTGCGCTCCGGAGGAAAAAAAAAACCCCACAAGCTTCAGGAATCCGTCGTTTATTCAGGTCCTGTCCTCGTATTTATTTAACAAAAACATCCCTACCTGAGTCGTGCAAAAGCCCAGAGACTGTTATTCCGACAAGCTGCTCCGGTACTCTGTCATACACTGTGTGAGATCTCGCTGAAACGGTCCGTCTGTGCTCGACGGCGACGGACCAACAACCGCAGCTGAGATCCTATTGAAATAGAGTTGGAGGATAGCCTTGGATATCACAGGGCCAGCCCACATCCCTTAATCCCAGTCTGACGTATTATTTCTGTAACACGCGCGAAATCTCAAACAGACACGAAACAACAACGGGGTAGTTAATGATAATGCTCATGTAAAGCCCACACTGACCGCTGAATTACACTAATGTAAGCGGGGTATGCATCAAGAATGAACAATAATAATAATAAAATAATATTAAAAATGAACATATAATGTGTGTGTAATGAGATAATTATAATAATAGCCTAATAGTGCAGAATTTTACATTGATTATTGCTGTTTTAGCTGTTCTTTGTGGAAAAAAATAGGCATTTGTCGTTTGTCATTCTAATTGATAATATTTCTGATTAAGATTTGTTAAATAAATAGTTAATTTAACAAATATAATTATCTTACCACATGGTTAATTCAGTAGCTTTCCTTTGGGACTGATAATAAATAAAAGATAATGTAGGCTAAAAGAAATGTTTCAAAAATCAATATAATTTGACGTTTTTGCAGCATTTCCCATCTTAGAGAGGAAGATTCAATCCAAATCTTACAGACAAAGTAATAACATTTTACCTTTAATTGATGATTTCCCTTTATTTCGCAAATACGAGTTTTAGAGCCAAAAACTCCATTACCCATGATTCCAGTTGTGCTTTCTGATTGGCTGCTCACCGGAGACCGTCATTTGACGTAACCTGAAGGCGCGCGCGAAACTCCTGCGATTGCCACCTCCTCGTTTGTGTGTTTGTTTTCCAACTTTAACTCAACTTTTCACCGCGTTTTGAGTGTGTTACACGTTTTATTTCCAGACATGGCTATTCCCACAGTACCCTCCCGCGTTCATAGTGGATAATTTCTGGTAGTTTTCCTATTTATTCGCCTATTTTCGACCGAATACCGGGGAGGTCGTCGTCCTCCAGGAGTCGTGGATGTTGCTGTTGGTTGTATGAATCATGGCAGCGCTGTTACAACACGCAGGGTATGAGGAGGAGAGGCTGCTGAGGGTCGCACAGCAAATGCCCTGCAGAGAGGTGCAAGCGGGGATGCTGCTGTCGCTCATGGGGCAGGTATGGTGATGATTTCTACCCCCCAAAAAAATATATAAATCATGATGATGTGAAGGTTTTTTGATGGGGTCAATATCAAACAAACATGTTTTCTTGATTATGGAGTACAAGATTTTGTAGGTCAGCACTACATTACTTCTTTATAATGCTGTTTTGACACATATTTTTACCTTTTATTAAAACAAATACAGTTTCTGTACTTTTGTTTTGTACATTTAAGGGACAGCAATTGTTGTTTTGTTGTTGTGCATACAGCTCAAAGTGTGCTTTTCATCAATTTTATATAAAATATTTAGACAAACAAAGAGAAGTTAGAGCTGCACGATATGGTAAAAACATCATATTGCTGTTATTTTTAACAGATATTGCAATTGATTCACAGTTAGATTAGGAATGATCATTTTCACATCACAAATGTAATTTTCACTCCCCCCAAAAAAACATTAAAATCATGATGATGTGAAGTTTTTTGAATATGGAGCACAATATTTGTAGGTCAGCACTACAGTACTTCATGATAATGCTGTTTTGACCCATTTTACCCATATAAAAATGTGTGATTTGCATATTGCGATAATATTTCCATTAATTGTGCGGTCCTAATTGAAGTACAGTAAGATGGGGTTGAATAATACAAATCAAAGAGAAAAAGGCCTTAAGATGTTAAAGGGATTTACAGAGGCTGCATGACATGACAACAGTATCTGTTTTTAATGGTCAAACAAAGCTTTACAAGGGTAAAATAAAGGCTTTACATTACATTTACCATCTTTTCTCAAACATCTATTATTACTTCATGTTCAGTGTAGTGATCTTTTTATGAGAATTAACAGTTTGTAGATCTCTGTTGTTAGTTATGGCCTAATGGAAATTATTCTACTAAATCAACTAATCAGTTTATTCAGGAAATTAAATATTAAACCGCTAAGAAGTCTTTAGTGAAGGACATTAACATTAAAAGTTAATTACCGACAGTAACAACAGTATTTAATTTGATCATAAAAGCCGGAATGATGTTCAAGTTAGCAACGTGGTTGTTTAGATTTGTATTATTAATAATGGATTGACACAATGATATTGAATAAAAAACCCACTGAATCTTGTTCTTACAGCCTCAGCAGTACAGCTACCCCTCCATCTTCATCTATGGTCATCGGGCTTCAGGAAAGAGTCATGTGATGCATGTTTTACTGAAGGAACTTGAGGTGAGAAAGAGACATTTGCTGTGAGTTCAGGGGACCCCCCCCAAGGGCTGGATGGTGTTTGTTTGTGCAAATGTACAAGTCAGGGGGTCTAAATTTGTTATCAAAATGAGAAACTGCAACTGTGTAAAGGTTTTTTACTGGACAAACTGTTAATCAGGTTTGTGTCAGTCTCAAGAGTTTGAGTCGCTGACGTCTTCTATAAACTTTAAAAAGAGGCTGGAACTTAAAAATCACGCTGAGCTTTCTTCATCAGACCGCTGAAAGAGTGCTTAGTCCTTGGAAATATTACATTTATTTGAAAGTGCAGAAGGTTTAGGATCGCAGCTTGACTCGTTCAATAAATTGTATTGCATTTCAGAGAAATCTCATTTCTCAATGCACACAAAGCTTTGTGTGCGCACTTTCACCGTGTGCGTAGGTTTATGTTTCCCTTCATGGTTTAAGAGTTATGGATTGAATAACTAGGTGTCTGATTTAAAAGAAGAAGAAAAAAATACTTTACTTTTCTGCACAACTTTCTGTATGAAAAAGGACCAGTGTTCCCTCTGTAGATAAAAACAGCATATTCAAAGGTAACGAAAACACAACAATTCTTATTTTTCAGGTGATTATACACTAATGAAATATGAATATTATATTACATTTCTGCCAATAGATCCTCCTTAATGTTACAAACTGGACCTGTAAACATAAAGCTTAAAGCTTTTAGTCTCAGGGAGACACTATAGACACCAAAAATTATGTTGTGTTCCTGCTGATTGTTGTCGTATATATTGTTTTTAATGCTATGTGGTGAAGCCTTAGCTTTTCACAATCTAGACAATACAGTTCCTAACGAACTAACTGATTCATCTGGTGATTATTTTCTCAATTAATCGACCCAGGCCCGAAAGTGACGTATTCAAAATGCTTGTTTTGACCAACCAACAGTCCAAAATGTTAAGATATTCAGTTTTTACTCTCATATAAGACCAATAAAAGTATTAGTAGTCTTTTCATTTGAGCAGCAGCCAGCAAATGTTTTGGATTGTAGTTTAAAGAATAAAAGAAGATGAATCGATTTAGGGATTGTTTTTCAATCGTTGAAGCTCTATAACATCAACAACAACACTACAATATTTACAGTATACACATTTTAATACTTTATTGTCATTGTATTAAGGGTAGATTACAGTATGCAACAAAAGCAACATGGAGAACCAATGTGAGAGGAAGATGTATTAACTCCAGATATCACACTGACTGTCCTTCATCATTCCTCCTCCTCTCTGCAGCTGCCTCATGCCACAGTCAGCTGTGTCGAATGTGTTTCTGTTGCGTTGCTGTTCGAACAAGTGCTGCTGTCCTTCTTTGGCTGCGATGCTGCCTCGCTGCTCCCCCGCAGTCCCTCCCTGTCTGACTTTGTACGCATCTACAGACAGCAGTGCTCCCAGTCTCCTGCCAAGCAGACGCGATACATTGTGAGTGCCGTGCAATTTACGCGCAAGCTGGAAAATCACTCCTCACTTGGCACTCTAATATACTATAATCCATGGCATGTCAAATAATTTATTCTTTGGATGTGTCACTTAAATGTTTGTACGATAATATGATTAGCAGTGATAACATATGCAAATAGATGCTAAACAAAGCTCCAGATACATTAGCCTGAAGAAAATAAGTATGATTTTCAGCCAACACAGGAGCGGGTTTAATCCAGTATTTTGGCTTCATCATTTCTTTATATTTGAAAGTGAGCTTGCAGCATATAAAGCAGTAATGTGCAGTGATAAAAAACCTCTAGTTTACTGAATGTTACAAAGTAAGCTCAAAAGTACATGTATATATTTCAGGTAATGGAAAAAGCTGAGCTCCTGAGAGACACCGATGCCAATCTCCTCCCTGCTCTCCTGCGTCTTCAGGAATTGGTGAGAAAGTGCAGCAAGCTCTTTGTGTTATCTATCAAGTGAGCCACTTTGTTGTTGTTGTTGCACTGTGTGGATGATGAAGAGGGACTGGGAAGAGTTTCTTTTGTAATGAATGACCTTGAGCTAAGTGCGTGGAGCTCTTTCATAATGCTGTTAGGAAGGAAGGATGGCAGCCACTCACAGCATTTTAATTAAAGACACCAAGAGGACAAAGACCTATGTGGTTATTTTCGTTTTTATTCCTGCGAAAGCGAATTGTTTTCTGGTGGATTGTGAGTGTTTAGAGGAATCTGTCTTCTCAATGTCACCCAGGATTTTGAAGTGATAATAAGCATGCAGATTTACACGTGTGAAACATGACAGAAGGATGAAGGGTTGATGTGTATCTAATGTTTATATTATCATGGCCTCTCTGTGCCAAAGTTAACATGAAGGATTTACTGTCTAGGGTTGGGGTATATTTTATTAGAAGTGTGTTGACTCGTGTGCACATGTCATGCTGATCTGATCAGAGTCAAACTTGGAAAAGAGCTGCACCGTTCCCAAAGTGGTAAAGCCTACCAAACTTCAGATCTTACTGGATCAGGATGTGTTGTTTTGTCAATATAATGCCTCATGATACCTTGCATGTTGTGCACAGATGCACCGATCCAATTTTTTCTCTCTTGATAATAACTCCAGGGTACCTCAGTTGAAGGTATTTGCCAATATCGATACCTGTGCTCTTATTTTGTCCCAAATGAACTGAACTCATCTGGATCGTTTTTATTTAAAGTAGCACGAGGCATAAGACATTTGAGGACATCACCTGGGACTTAAAGAAATTGTGATGTCCATTTTTTAATCTGCTTTTGAAAGATAGCCATTAATACTATAATCATATTTTTTTTACTTAAAGACATTAAGATTAGCTTAATTCAATCAAACACTCGATTGTTATATATAAAAATCTGAAGGTATCACAAGTCCCAAGAGCACAATGTGATGTTTTCAATATTCAGTTGAATTATATTGGATTTAAAATGATTTATATACTAGAGAAAAGCACCAAATCCTCACATTTGAAAAGCTGGGACGAGGGGATGT